ACCCTGAGGAAGCACGTTCAGAGAGTTTAGATTAACTGTGTCTCAGGCTAATCCAGGGGTGCACTTGTTGACCCTGAGCAAGCATACAGCAGAGTAAGGTCAGGACAGTCCCGAGTCATCTGCTGACTAATCAGACAGCAGGAACAAGGTGCTGCAGTGAGACCAGAGGACAGAACGACCGCAAGTGAAGAAGGTACGAACAGGACACCTCAACGGGCAGACTCCCTGCTGTTTTTCCTGGCTGTCGTGGAAGAATCGGACAGTGGTAAAAGCCCGCATGATTGGACTTTTCCTGATGTGTGGCCAATGGCCTGGCTACATGGTCAGGAAAATGGGCACAGCTGTGTGGGGCAAGTACCTATGGAAAGCACGATGGGAACTTAAAGAGCACATCAGGGTAGGACAGTGGTTCTCAACCTTCCTCATGCCACAACCCTTTCATACAATGCCTCATGTGTGGTGACCCCCAACCATACAATTATTTTCCTTGCCACTTCTTAACTGTCATTTTGCTACTGTTATGAATCAGCCGACCCCTGTGAAAGGGTTGTTCTACCCCCAAAGGGGTCTCGACCCACAGGTTGAGAACCACTGGAGTAGATGTTGCCACCCATCAGAAGAATCACCTTTTTGCATCAGAAGGTAATTGGAACCAACAAGTGGATGCGTTGGTGTGAAGTGGCCAGTTGGTCCCTGAGAGGACTTGACATGGGGGTGCTGCAGCCAATCCTCCACAAAGTGCCTGTAAGCACTGTCCTGTTGGCCAACAGGAAAGACCATGGTTGCAATTGGCTAAGGGACAGATACCCCTGGGGAAATGCCTTGTATATAGCTGGCAGATCATTTATATTGGACCAATGATACCAGTGGTTGGGACAGACACACGATGTCTATTGACTAATCAGGTAGCAAGAGTTAGCTTTTTGGCCACTACCAATCAAGCGAGGTAAGTAAGAGAGGAGTCTCACATCTGTACATTCCGTTGCCTCTGAATAATAATAAGAATTCCATAGGGACTGAAATGGGGACAGGGAAAAGCTACAATAAGTTAGGCTAAGGACAGTAAGGGAAACTGATGGCCTTAGGCCACTAGCAGTTAGGTTACAACCAGGATAGCAGATGGCATTTTGAAATGCCTAATCCATGCCAGGAGTGTGCTCTTCCTTTCAGAAGTGGGATTGGAGTCTGCTTCAGAGATCTCAGGTGACTCTTCATGGGCAGGTGGCTGTTCACAGCCTGCAGGATGAGATGCGGGCTCTTGGGTTCCAAGTGGACTCCACCTGAACCCCTTCCCACTGTGGACTGAGGACTGTGTACCTAACATGCCCAACACAGAGCTTTTGAATTCTCACCTGAACCGTCCGTTCCCTTTTCACGTGGCTTTGCCACCAGTCCGTGGCTTCAGCCTCC